CCTTATGTTCCTTATGTATTTTAATTCTGTTTATTGTATAACTAATACAGTTTTCATGTATATTCTTTTTCTCTATGCTGTTTTTTGTTCATTTCTATTATCTAATCTGTTTTTTATTCTGTTATTTTTTGCTTTATTTTTTATACATTTTTTTCTGATGTCTTTGAGAGTTAAATAATATTTTTTTTTAGTTTTTTCCTTATGTTTTGTTTACTTTGTTTACTTATTTTTATCCTCATTTTAATTCATGCGTATCCGTTGTAGTGCTTTTATATTTTACAAAACACAGCACCTCGGGGCAACACTGTGGCAACGTCCAATTTGTAGCATTTTTCCCCTTTCCATTGTTGAATTAAATTCGACGTTGCGTTTGAGCACCACCCTGCGTCGAATAAAAATTTTACAATTGTACAAGTGCAAAACGTTGTAAACCTCTTTCATCCCCCGTGCGCTCTAGCCCTTAACACGTGTACTTTTCCGAATATTAAAAATTTTAATTTTGGACTTCCGAGCGAATTCTCTTCTCCATTCTTTGTGCACTAATCAAAGTGTTTAATATCTGGAGCACGTGTTTGAGGTTTAATATGGAATTTGAATAGCGCAGATTCGAGACTTGTTCCAGAGTACGAGACAAGCAATCGGAAATCCGGAAACTCAAATTTGGTCGAATTTTTCAGCAACTTAATTTATTATTTTTGTTTATTCATCTGTATGATTATTTCATGATGCAAAATTTATCCACAACGGCTTTGTTTGGTGAGAAATGAGTAAACAGTTCGCTTAAGTTTTGGATAAATATTGACGATTTGAAACCGGAAAAATTCAACCGTCGGTATTTTACATTCTCTCGACTGGTAAAATAATACGTCAATTTTGAATTGACTGAGTTTGGAAGACTAAGGCAATTCCTTATCGCTACGGAAACATGTGACAGCGTCATTGTCATGCAATTTATTTAACAGAATGACAAGAGGAGGCGCATCAACTGAATTTCATTTTGTGATTTATGAAGGGACGCGTGAGAGCGAAAGAAACAGCCGGAACTCGACCTGATTCTTCTCGATTCTTATGCCATTCAAAAAATGGCGATTTTATTTTTATTCTCTAATAAATTGCGATGCGTGTCTGAAATATTGCTCTAAATGTTCCAAACATTTGGGCTTAATTTTGTTTTACGCAAATTCTGTTCAATAAGGAAGTAAAAATTTGGGCTATTTTTGGCTTGTCTTGTTTCTAGAGTTTAAATAACAACACAAATAAAGATAAAACTTTTATCTGCCACGTATTTCAACTGAGTGATATTTAATGTGGTTATGTCGTGTTATTTTTGCGTGCAACAAGTCCGATCCAAAATTACTTTATTTACGCTATTGTACACTTTATTTTATTTTAATTTGCTCAATAAAGTAGTGTTGCCTTTTTTACCAGAACAATTTGACACTGATTACGTTAGACTCAAAACTAATCTAACAAAACAGCTTATCCGCGTTATTACTTTTATTATAATTCTTCCCAACTCGCGGGATTATTAGATCGCAGCAAGATCTGCTCTTTCTCACAAGGATACATATAATTTAATTTTGTTCCTACTAGTTCCGAACAAATTTTGAAAACTTTCCGGAGTGAAGTTATAATTATCTAATTTCTCGCAAGTAGGATATGTATTTTTCATGACTGCGAGACGTCAAAGGGATTCAATTACGTTCTGCATCCGGTATAAATATCGCTCTCAAAAGACAAAAATTGGGATGATTTCCCTTGAGGTAGAAACCAATACTTTTCGCGGTTCAGACTAGACAGTTGGTAGCTTTGTCAAACGTGAACTGAGTACAGTAAGCTACCAGTATTATACTTCCTCTACCTTAATGTCAGTTGGGAAGTTAGCTGAGATAACATTGCCTAGGAAAAGTTTGTGATGGGGAGATGGCAGACCGTTTCCTCTCACACAGTTCGATTTAATTTGAAACAAGGGTCGTCTGGTTTTGCTCTTCATAGATAAATTGTAGAAATTATGGAAATTTTAATTAAAATTTATGTTACGACAAAGCTCACAGGTGGATAAAATTATGTCTTTTTTTATTTATTTTTTTATGGATACGGAAAGTTGTGGGGATCTAGTGGATGCTTGAAATCTTGAGCTTATTATGAGGAAGCATAAAAATGATGTAATTTTGTTAACGAAGACGAGTTTATTGCTTATTAAATAAAAATTGTGTGTGTCCAAAACTCTAACATAGCATCGCCATACAGATTAGTAATATCGATAATACCAATATTTAATTATTTGTGAAAACAGAAAAAGTAGTTTTTGGGGAACATTTAAAAAATATAATTTTTGATTATCTGCCGTGGGCTGAAAGTTGGATGTGGTCCTAATCTGCGATCGTTTCTCCTTACTCGAGACAAGGATCCCTCAGGAAATAATAAAACTCGTGAAAATCCTTCAGATTTGAACATAAAAACACTTGAGAAAATCTGAATATGAAAGATCTTGCAAAAAATTTCATTTAAGAGTGAGATTGAGAAGGGCTCGTGTTGCTTTTATTAACCTCCATTACGTAAAGTTCTTCTTCACAAAAACTACAACAAAATTGAAACTCGAACCGCACTAATGGCTCCTTTATCGGTGTGGAAAAAAGCCAAAAATTTGATTTAGTGAATTAGAATTCTTGAGATATTTGTGTGAAAAAGAATTTCGTTTTCTTAGCCCCATCCGTAATAAAACCATGAAAACATAATGCCTTCGGACATTTTAAGGACAGAGTAGCTGGGTGTTAAGAGCACATAAAGTGGGGTACTTTATAATCATTATCTGCGAAGCTCGCGGACTGGGCAATTTTACTTATTCAGAAGATGGGAAGGCCTCTTTATCTCTGTCTTCATCTTAACGCTCGCGAGGAGAACGCTGACATAAACAAGTGTTTATTCTTTTAGTTATGCTGATACGATTCAGATCTTTTTACGTAATGGTCGGACTATTTATGACGCATAAAGATAACAACGTTTCGTAAATACATATTTTATTTACACAAGAGAGGAGCTTGAATAACACTCAAACTCCATCAACAGTGACATTTAAACGATATTGCAACGATGCGTCGAGTCATTTTATATTATCTGAATAAATGAACTAGACGAGAAACGGCTGCACTTGTGACCGCTTATGTAGGTGGATAATGTTACGGGATAGAAACGAAAGCGAAATGGTATCTCTGAAACATCGAGCAGGCGAGCACAATAGCACAAATATAATAAAAATTGAAATTTTAAATTGAAGCATTCACTAAAGGACTTTTATTTCTTCAAGTAATCGAGATATAGACAGCAGTGCAATCAGACAAGGGGGCAATGCAACTGTACTTGAAATCGTTTCATAAACGTGAGGCAAAGTTTATTTTAGTGCCTCAAATTGATCCACTAACTAGAAATAAGAATTTTTAAATTACATTAACATGAGTAAAAATTTTTTAACTAAAGCGAGCTTAATAGTTATTTATTATACTTATTTCACGTCGTGTATAACACAACATTTTTTTCTATAGAAGGATTGAATAAAATTTCAAATTTTTGGCACAAAAATCGTAATTGTGTTGCTCCGTTATTATAGTTATTAAAAAAAGTTAAAACATTTTATCTACCCTTGCTGTTGAAGTTTTACTTTATCTACTCTTGGTGTTAAGGTGCTACTTTATCTACTCAAAAGAGTTGTTAAAGAAATAGTTTATCATCTGCTATAGAAAAAAAAACTATTTAAACTGTTCTAAATTATAAGAGTGTGGCAAATAAGTAAAATTTATATTTATCAATTACTAACTCAACTGCTTTTGATCTAAAGTTACTTAAGAAACTGAATTCTTAGAAATTACGTGAGGGTTAAATTTTAATCGTCTTCAAACTTGCTGCGTCTCGAAGATCGAAAAAAATTACATCTTCTCAATTTCAGCAACGGTTTCAATATCTTTTAATAAAAAACCGACACAACACATTGTTGCCTCAAGTAGTACTTTTATTAAAACATTGCCGCTTATTGTACTCGTATTATCACTATCAGTGTTATCACTTTTTGTAAACTCTATATAGAGGTAAATGCATACTTGTCTCATACTGAGACATAGTTTTATAAAACACATTAAGTTATTCTTATACTCTTTTCATAAGACAAGTTGTCTTATAAAATATTATTTTTTAATTTTATGAACATATTTCAATATTTGAGAAATAAAAATAGCTAGTAGAAAAGCTAGAAGAAAAAATTTTATTTTGGCGTTTTTTAGTTAATTCTTCAAATATTGTATAGGTACAAATTTATTAATTTTTAAGTCAATAGTTTAATATTTGTAACAATACGTGCGTCAAAAACAATATTTTTCTTCTACTTTTTTTAAGATATAAAAACTGTTTCATTTTGGTGTTTCTTTTCTAAACATTGTTACTGTATAAGAAAATAACCTTTGGCGTCTACTAACAAAGCTCTCAGCGCATTTTTCAAAAAACTACAAATATTTTTATGAGTACAAAGTAAAGTTTTTTACTTCAATATCATAAAGTATGTTCCCGTGAATTGAATATACGGTATTTCTAAACAAAATTCAAACAAGGTTTTTGAATCCTTAGAATTCACAAGATGCTTAAGATGCTTGAATAAACGCGACGAAGCATGCTATAATAAAAATCTCCTTGTAATACATTCCACGATTTACGCCTTCTTTAGATAAAGTGATAAGAGATTTAAGAGTGAAATAATGTCTTTTGTGTTGCAGATGGATGCAAGGGTCGATATGCGAACGCTGCACTTCTTATTGGACTCGTCCTGGTGGGTCTGCGGTAACGCCGAAGCTAAATAAAGTGTGTGCAAAGTTTAAATACAATCAAATAGAGCTGTAAATAATAAAAAATGTAAATACTTTTAGGTTGGTATCGACTAGTATTAAATCATTTTATACCTACCAAAAAAAATCAAACGGTTTCAAGTAAAAAATGTAAAGTAGTGTTGACCTAAGTTATTTTTTGCAAGGGTATGACATTGTGATAAACTGTGAAAAGTGTAAATAAGACATTGAGAGACATGTCAGTGTACCATAGGAAAATACTAAAATAGATAAAAATATTATAAATGTATTTAAAAGTAATAAAAGCCAAAGACTCAAGACTCTTCTTGTTCGAAACGCAATTCAAGTCATCAGTAGTTATTGTGTGTTCGATCCATCATATAAGAATTGTTGTAAAATGTATTACATATTTGTTACCTAATGTAAAACCCGAGCTAAATAAAGTATTGTTAAAAAAAAGTTTGTTTTTTCTGTGCTTTTTGAAGGATTTACCAGTTTGAGGGCCAAACATGAAAATTGCGAAAATATTAAAGAGGACAGTTCTGAGCTTCCCAAAGAGGATCAGAGGTAAAGCTGGGATTACCGCAAGAACGGACGAGGATCAAGCACCTCATTAACAATTGAAAGTTGGACAATTATGATGGGTTTGTTTTCGAAGCACGTGTAGGGCTGTGTCGTCAGAAAGAGGGTGGTTTGTTTACGGAAATGGCACGTTGTTGGGGTAAATCAAGTGTGCGATGCCACGTAGACGATATTTTTATTTTATCGGAGGGAATAATGGAAATTTGTGGCGGAATCATTCGTATAAAAAGACGATTTTCGCTAAATAAACGCCAGATTTTCTATTCGGTTTTTCTTTTGACAGTTGTTTATTTAGTTTAAAAGAAACAAATTTGTTGCTTAACCAATTTCTTGTAAACATTTTGATGGAAATCGGTGCTGACGTCAACAAATAATTATTATTATTGTATATTGTTTACTTTTAATTATTAAAAAAAATATTGCTATAAACTCTGTTTTTGTAAAAAATTTAACCCTGTCACGCAGGCTGATTCCTCATTTTATTTTTTTTATATTTCAATAAGGTAAATTATAAACGAAACTGAAAGAAAAGTGATAAAACCATAAAACATCAAAATATTAATTTTTGAAATATTCAAAACTTGTAAACCAAAAATTATTGGAAAATAAATGTTTATTTTATATTGGATTTGTTCTATTGAAAACAACGCAATAACAATAAATGACAATATTTGGTTTCAAACTAAAAATACATATCCTGTTTTTTTTTTCAATATGTTATCGGTTTCAAGTAATAGGTAAATTCATCTCTTGAAATCAAAAAAAAATAGAAAAACATTCTTCGAATTTAATTTGTGACAATTTATCTTAAAATTATTAAAAATCATTTTTCACCCACTATTTATGTTTTATAAACCTATCTCAAACTATGTGGGACAATATTTTTAAAATGGATTTTTAAGAAAATGTTACGGTAAATAGTTTTATTTTCTATTTATTTTGAACTTAACATTGCTTCTGTAGTTTTAAAAGTGTGTTTAGTGTCAGAAGGTATTTTTTTTCTTTTTAGACTAACACAAAAGTTTATCTCTACTTTAAACCACTCAAATAAATTAACACAATAGGGTTATTACATCTCCGTTAATTACTCTCATAACCTCCCCTTTTATCTCGTAATAACGCCACAATTTCACCTTTATTACATTTTCTTCTATCTGCCAAGACAATTCCAAGGCATCGTCAGACTAAAACAGGCCATCAGCTATTTCATAAAAAATTAAGAAAATCGTTCATTCGAAATATTTAGTCTGAAAAAATTATTTTTTAATCCAACGCGACGTTCATTTATAAGGATTCTTTTTTTAGCCTGAAATATGAGGGAGGACTCGGGACAGAGAAATAAAATAATAAGAATTAAAAAATCTCCTTTACTGTTAGAAGTCTCTAGAAAAACCATTCGTATTCATTAGGACAAAGCCGGCATAAATCTAAATAGAGGGTAGTTAAAACCCATCTTATTACTTAAGCTAGTACCTTGATAATTCCTCATTGTGTACATTAGAGGAAGGTCGGGTTTGAATCTGCTTCCGGGATGGCGATTTGGCTGCAGTGTGAAGATTAATGGACGGATGGGGGTTGACGGTTGAACACTAATTGAAAGAAATATTTTACTAGGCATCAACTGACATATTTTTGATTGAGGTTTATCTTAATCAAGAAGATTAAAATGAAGTCTTAATTGATATGTTTTTTTAATTAAAAATGGTGAATGGTGACCAGATAAATAAAACCTAATTACAAATATACGTTTTGTTCGCTTACTGAAACATAAATCAAATATATATCACCCAGATGAAATTCGCTTTGAAGATATACTGTTATTGTCAATGACATTCGACATTATAACCCTCAAATTCATAAGACAATGATATCGAGTTCCAACTCCAGACATGCTGGTATAGACATTTATTTCTAAAGCAAATTTGCTTGATCTAGACTTGAGTATTAATCTATTTTACATTAATTTCATTAACTTCTTGATGTAGAGAAGTTGAAAAAGTATACTTGTTTACTCAAGTCTGAATTATTTTTTTCTTGGCAGTTTTAATTTATTCCGACACTTTATTTAGCTATTCTCTATCATTTAGACAACTCCTAATTATGAATTTTTTCTGTGACATTTCTCTTTCTGTGTTAAATTTTTCATCGCCTCATGTCTAGTGGACATAACTCCATTCTCCATATTTACAGATCCAAGATAATGTAGCCGTAATGTTACATGCCACAAATAACGCTTTTTTACGTCCCTCACACCCATTTGTCAACATTCATAAACGCACCACTTGACACACGCCGTGACAAGTCGCACCGAAATAAATTCAAAACAAGCGCTAATTTGTTTCAAAGAGGGTGAAATATCGCTCATTACAATTAGTTCGATAAGTCACGCACTAGACTAGATGCATTATCGGGAATTATTGGATCGCTTCGATAAATACTTAAGTAATGATTTATGAAGGATCAGGTTTGCCAAAATAAAGGAGTCAACACGGTTTGCGCATTTTGACATTAATCAAAACATGACGAGCGTGAATGCTTCATTCGAAATTTAATTATGGAAAAGGTTAAGTGAGATATGGGGCATTATCGACCTGTTTACTATACCGTCTTGCTAATTTATTACGATAACAAAGCGATCCTTGCATCTCCTAAAGCATGGGGGCCATTGATCGCCGAATGAAAAGCTCCAAAAGCTTGAGAAAATTCATTTTCTTAATAAGAAGAGCAAAATAGAATCAAAATTATTAGACGCATACAGGGTGTTTACGGTCTCGGAGGTGAAAATTGACCTAATAATAGAAAATTACAAAAATACTGTAACCGAGAAAAAAACTCACACAATTATTATTAAAAATATTATTTTTAACTTCAAAATATTGGTACACGGTTTGAGGTCACTGGAGTTCTTTCCTAGCTAAAATAGAATTGTATTGTTGCAACAAATAAGAAAATCGTATCCATGACAAAGAGAAAAGTCACTTCATAGTTTTGACACTGTCATCAATTGACTAGCTTCGGTTTTATTAGCTTTTATCATAATTCGAAGTTCTTCTGTTTAATTAATCTTTTCCAGAAAAAAGGTTTCTAATAAGTTTGATTCGTTTTTATTGATCTTTTTCAAATTTACGGACATGGATCGCACATATTAAAATAATAAATTGGTTGTCGTGATTATGATTTACGGTGAAACACAAGGTAATACTAATGACCATTGTTGCACCCGCAGCAGCAGTTCTCAAACAAATAATATGAAATGAATAATTTTCTTTCACAATGTGAATTTTTATTTTATGTAGCTTATTAGTTTTCTTCTACCGTGAATATCATCTCATTTAAATTTCAACCTCAAGACTGTAAACACCCTGTAAAGTTTGCTTATCTACTATTCTGAGACCAAAAACATTCTAATCAAAGTTTTTTCTGTCATTATCAAAATAGTGGATTTACTAAATTTGTAAATAATGATTACTTATTGATTTGTGAGGAAATATTTTAAAATGATTTTTCCACTGTAAAAATCAGGTATTACCTAGCTCTCAACAATTGCTGGTTTTATTACTTCGGATTTCAAATTTACAAAGACAAAGCAACAAACAAATTCTAATAGGAAAATTCAATTTGTGAAGAAATTGTGGACTGAATTAACAATAATCTTAAGGTATGTACTAGAGTACCGGCTGATTCGGTTCAAAATCGACAGAACTTTGAATATTTATTTTCAATAAATCTAATAAAGCTAACTTCAGTTTCATAATTTTTAGTTTTTTTGTCGTAAAACATTTCGCATTAAAGTTTTTATTTCTTACCCATAAATTATGATCACCCCATTTGCGCTGCCCTTGATCGCATCTTTTAACATTGATAATTGTCTAAGTTTATAACAACGTCAAAACTATCCACGAAAGTTCAATTGTGAACAAACAAACCATCGTAATCTGACATTTGACATCTCGCCGGACGAATTAAAAATTGTGGTCCGTTCACACACACTCATATCACCCGCCAACTATGACGCCAAATTTAAATAAACACCCGTTACATTATGTTACTTAACTCCATATTTTTGAAGTATTTTTTTTTGCTTTTTTATTAGTTACATACAAAAAGCTGTAACTTGCATATGAAAACATTTAAAAAAGAAAATATAATTTATTGTTAACAGTCTTGCTTTAAAGAAAATTGTTCTTTTACATAACATTCTGCATAAAAAAACAATCATTTAATCCTCTAATCAAAAATATAATGACGCATAGAGCGGAGATATAAATATAAAAAGAATAAAAGAAATTAGGAGCAGTATTCAGGCTGCGCCAGAACTTTTATCTCAGAGAAAAATGCGATGTAAGGTAAAAACTTGTAAAAATTGTATCTCTAAAAATGTTGAAGTTATGAGAGTTAAAATTTTGCATTTTGACTTCATTTATTTTCGTAGAAAAAATGTTGTTCCAAGTTTTTTTTACTACAGGCTATTGCTAGTAGCAGAGGAAACGAAGAAGCTATTTTCTAAATTGTATCTCTGTTTAATGATATTTGGGACTTTTATTAGCAAAATTTTTATATCTTTACTAAATAACTATAAAAACATATGCAAGATCGTCAGTATCATTAAATAGACATAAAAAAGTCAAATGTAAAAAACTAAATGTTAAAATTTTTCGACAGATAGAAATTTTTAATCATTTTTTCCATGTACCTGGTATCTTACCTTACTTTAAATGTTTTTCTGGGGCTCGAGTTCTGTCACACACTGTAGAAGAGATTCTAGAGATGGGTGCTAATTTTCTACAGTGTTAAAAAACATTATAAAATATTTCAGGAGGTAATAATATGGAGCAAAATAAACAAAAAAGTTATAATAAATATGGGACTGCCAAGTA